GCCAATCTGGCACAGGTTGATCTCATCCCGAATACGTTCCGGCCAAACCTCCATCTGCACCAATCGCTTCATATCCTTTGCCTTCTCAATCATCCCTTGACCAGTCCTCTAACCACAAGGTCAACGGATCCCAGTTCCCTCCTGCAAAGTCCTCTTCGACTCCTGATTTGCATCTGAACCCTGATACCCCTGCTTTGAGTACTGGAGACGATGGTGGAGACTGGGTTCTTTCCCCAATCGGTCGCCGATTTCACACTCCTGACACCGATCGACCACAGAACACATCAAACATCGAACCCGCAGAAGATGGACCATTGGAATGGAGCCAGTCAATGCCAGGGCGGCCCGGTGCTACTCAGGTTCTGGATCCTGCTAGGTCCAAGGCAAGCAAGGCCAAGAGTGTCCGCAAACGTGTCAGGCGTGCCAAGATTCAAGACGAAAGGACGGAAAAGGGAAGAAAGAAGGGACATAAACCTCAACCTATGTCACCTTTGGGCATCATGAACACCCAGTATGACTGCTATGCAATTGCACTGTTCCAGATCTTGCTGCGGGTTGACTGGTGGGTGTCACGTTTGGATCAATCGATTGCCGAGGACCTCTCAAGCAAGTCAGATCCTTTAGTGGTAGCGATTCTAGACTTGCGACATCTCTCCAGGGGGAGAAGGCTAGGTCGTTTCCCAAATTGCGCCAGGTGTTGGCCAGTGAGTCCTCTCTATCCGCAATGGCCTCTCACTGAAACTTTAGGGTGTTCGATCGTAGACTCAGCGGATACAATGCAAGATCCCGATGAGGTCCTGCTCAATCTCAACAGATATCTGGACGATCGCTTCAATTCTGATGCTTTCGAAACATTATCAACTGTCAAGGTGGAAGTTCGAGTAAAATGCCCCAATTGCGAGGAAGATTTGGTGGTGGATAGTGTAACTCATGGATCTTTCTACATCCATCCCCTTCCGGAATTGACTCTGCCTACATCAGCTCCTCCTTCGATACCCGATTTCTCCAGTATGGCATACATGTCATACAATGTGGGAGGAACCCGCCGGTGCGTTTGCAACAATCCTGCATGTGCATGGGCCAAGTCCAAACAGTCTTTCGAAGGTCACCAACGTTCATACATTGACAGTCACTCGGACATGTTACGATATAATGTCGTTTGGAGTGTGCTCCCCACTCCTGGTGTCAATCATCATCCATCCCCTATGCGGTTCAATATACCCTCGGAACATCGCCTTCATGTACTCCCTCACAATCCTTTTTATCCATCTCACCTTTTCAACTTGTGTGGAATCATCTGCCGCCATGGTCAAGACACGGAGAATGGACATTTTGTCACCCTATCAAAACACAATGATCTATGGTGGCTGATGGACGATGACAAAGTATCTCGTGTTAGTTCTTCATATGAGACTGAAGCTTTCAGAGACGGGCGATATCCAGTAATGATCTTCTACCAGCGAGATGGAAGTCGTTCCCTTCCTACAATCCGTATTCACCATTCAGAAGCTACATCCCTCTCAAATCCATCACCCAGCCTCCCATCTGCTGATCCTACGGCTTTACCTCTACCCTTATACCGTCCTGATCAGGTCACACCGTCAGCCACATCAATTCGAGAACCAGTGGCAAGTTCATTGCAGTCTCAACAGCAGACACATGGCACATCAACATCAATCCAATCACAAGCAGAGTTTGACTTTTCTTCCACCACGCCCATCAAACCTGACAACACAAATGTGGTCGTCACCGGCTCACCTAACGCTGTACAGGTCACTGGCGTGACGATTGATTCTCCACTTGGTGTTAGCGGCAGTACTCAAGAGAGGCAAATACATTCACATGGTCCTCTTTTGGTTCCTCAAATCACCTCCGGGCAGGCACCAGGCATCGCAATTGACAATGCACCCATACAGTCCATTCCTTCTGGACCCCAACTCCCACAAGATCACGATCTTCTGTCAACAGTCGGTGAAGTGGAGTCTCGTGGGGAGAGTGGGTGGCCCGCAAAGGTCGAGGATATATATGAATTCCTCAACATGGACCTCATTAATCAAGCTGGGCTGGTCGAAACCTCCAACGTGGCTCCGGCTGAGTCTTTGCTGGCTTCCACCAGTCATCCCTTTCATCCCAAAGCCAGTATCCCTCAATCGGGCCCCGAACTTGCGGAGCAGGGACTTCATCAGGTCAGTGTTGCTCCAGAACAGTCGGCATTGGTTCCGCAAATGTATCGTCCAATCTCGACAAATCGGTCAGTTCCACTGGAAATCAGCCATTTCGTTGCCTCCTCACCAGTCTCAACCTCACCCAGCCCTAAATCCCATCGGAACGGTCATTGCAAACTGCCGGCATTGAGATTCGTTCACATTCTATGACAACCACAGATAATGACGTGCCAGTCAATCTCAGGCGGGCCCGATCGGACCTCCTTCGCATCCAACTTACCCCAAACCCGTGCGTCTTGCAATACCACCCATCATCGGTATCACCAATCCTCCGGATGTGAATACCAGCAATGCACCCGTGACACTGAGACATGACGACCCATCCTCAAAGCCAATGTCTGTTCCCTTGGAGACCAAGAATTCAACGGTCCTATCCTCTCCAATCGCCATAAATAGTTTATCAAATGATACAATCCACACGCAAACTACCACGACACTTACCCCGCCGACCGGGTCGGCTGACGCCTTGAAAAACAACCAAATGTCAAGTTCCGGTAGTCAACCCGTCCGTTCCTCCGCCCCAATCGGTATCACCTTCCTTCCTCAACTACAGCCTCCACAACAACCTGATTTCTCTCGTGAATTGAAAGAACGTGCGCAAGAAATGATCCCTTCTCCATTGCCAGCTGACACTATTGTACCCCCTGACAAAACGTCAGACTCAAGGTATCACGCCAGTCAATCTTCTGTTGGCTACAATTCAGGGCAGAGCCGGATCATTCCTGTCAATGTTCTTCCTGCTCTCGCAATGACACCTCTTGGACTAGACTATATGACACCGGTATCAAGGCCCATCGACGAACTTCAGCGTTCACTTGTTCCACCCTTGTCAATCAGCACCCGTGGAAATTTAAATACTCCAGATCTTGATGGTATCGTTGACGCGGCATTGGCAAGGTACTCCTCTATCGCCTTGAATGGGGCTCGACATAGGGACACGTCGCCTGTAAGCAACCTGATCATCATGGCCGAGCCCGACCAATTCGAGCACCCTCCTCTCGAGTTCACAGATACGTTTTTTGAGAACTTGACACGCAGAATCAAAGAAAAACCCGGTCGTCCGGGACTTTGGGGTCTACATATAGAAGGACCCAATCATAGCGTATTATTTGCACTGCAGGACTTTGAAAAGCTTCAAAGCCGAACGGCGTGGTGGAATACAAATATCATCTCTGCTATGTGTGCAACAGCAGCAGAATCAGAGGAGGTTGCTTGGAATCGGCAATGTCGATATGTCGAAGGCTTGCTCCGATGGTCCTCTCAAGGCAGCAGTGATCAATCCCTTAATATCTATTTCCCTACAAAACCTCGTCCGTGGTCATCTCTTGGCAAAAATGCTGATTGGCGTTCACGGGTGACAGTAGGAGTAGAGAATGTGGAAGCCAACACACATTTTGTTGCTCTTGCCATATTTGGCCCGGCCAAGCTAGTGATCCCGTTCGATGGTGCTGGTGGAGTATATGATAATCCTATTTTGAAGGAAGTGAGTTGCTTTTTCCTCTCTTACTGTGCGCTGGCAACTGACACAAACAGAAGTGGACGTCTCTTTTGGTAGACCGATTGGAGTGGGAGTTGGAAATGGACATGGTCACGGAAGAAGACAATAAAGGATGGATCTTTGCGCCGAATACAGAGGTGAGTGTCATTTTTTTGGAACATAATTATGACATTGACTGACATCTCTTAGAGACTGCGCAACGGACTCGGATGGGTCAAACAAGCCGATGCTGCCAACTGTGGTCCATTGGCGGCAGCGGCTGTTATTCTGTTGCTCCAAGGTGTCAAACCAACCGCTTTTCATCTAGGGCTGAAGACCGATACATATTCTCGTGAAGCTGCCGTTCTCCTACGAGACTCGCTGATGCTTATGTTCTTACGTGAAGTGGCGAGAGTAGCCCGGGACTCAATGAGTGGACTGGATCATTGGCTCAGAGATGGACAGGCAACAACCGAGTTGTGGTCATGGGTCGAAAAACGAAAAACGTTCAAGCACAGGCAATGGTTGTCGATTAAAGCAAGGCAGTGAGAAAGGGGGGCTGAGACAATAGATCCTTGATAATGCCTATCAGCTCATGTGATAATCTGATACCGGAATGCATGTCTCAATTGTATACTACAGAAATACGGCTTGTCACACAATCAGACACAATTAGAAGGATCCAGGAATGATCTGAGGTGGTGGGACCGCTGTATGTTCAGCCGCATTGGCCGCATGTTCATCGGTCGGTGGCTGAATTTCGTGTGGATTGGCAAGCCGATGAATATCTGATTGAGGTGTCGTATGAGCCAAGGAAGCGTTTCCCTCATTTTCCAAAGGATTTTGCACGTGTCCGGGACTGAGGCGCAGAGAAGCATTGTGGTTGACTGATGACAGTGGATCGCTTACATCTGAAGAGAGA